AAAATTGATGAAACATGGAATCAATTGGCCAATAGACTAATGGACCATGAAAAAAATCAATCTCCATGATCATGAGAGCAGAAGAACTAGATAGCTACCACTACCAACTGCTCTGGAAGGGATCACATTAGAAGGTCCTTGATAGAGTAGGAGAAAAATCTGGAACAGAACTCAAAATCATAAAAAAGACCAAGCTTATTGGTCAGCCAGAGGCTGGTAGAACCCCCAAACCATGGCTCTTCCTCACTCTTCAGATCTGAAAATGAACTCACAACCATGGCTCAATGTTCAGCCAAACAATACATAGGTCTCTAACAGTGCATTATTTTATCAGATTTTTATATGTTTACCTTACAACTTTTTCCCCAGTAGACTCATGTTCCATACTGAGACAAGATTTGAGTATGTACTTCAAACATGGTCAGAAATGTTATTCTGTAACTACAGCTTACCTGATTTATTCTGCTCTTTCTCCTTCACTTCTACTTCATCCTTGAGCCTTTGGATCTCTTTATGGGCCATTCCTATCTTTGCTGCTTGGTCCACATCTCTCTGCAGACTGTTTTGTGGTGTTTTATTTGTTTCTAAGTCTTTACTATAGGACTAAAATAAAACTACTGTTAGTAATCAAACAAAAAGTAAATGTGCTCTTACGACATTGTGCTATATCCCATAAATGTTTGAAAGTCAAGACAGGTAGCAAAATAGAATATTTCATTTATTTGCATTTCTTTTATTAGGTTGAACTATATAAAGTGTGGCAACAGTAGTGAGGTTGCCCAGGATTGGGCAGTGTTTCGTTCTGCTGTGCATAAGGTTGCTATGGGTTGGTACCGACTCGATGGCACCTAACGACGACAACAACAATATTAAAGTTGACAATATTTGATTGCTTTTATCCTTATGTGATAGCTAAGTTTTTATGCTAACTTGGCTGGGCCAGGATTTTCATTGATTTGACAGTTACAGTATAGTCATTGCTCATGATGATGTCTAGTGTAATGTAATCATCTCCATGATCTGTGTCCATTATATGTGGACACTTGGGCAAAGTTTGCTTTCTTTTTGCTGGGTCTGGATCCTGTATCTGGCTCACCATCCAATTTCCAGTTCATTGGACTTGAGTCAGTGACCTGCCATATTATCTGGCAAAACTGGGAAACATCAGCAACCTGCTACCATACCTGTTGATCTTAGATTCATTTGCTTCTGCAGCCAGAAGTCTGCCATCTGACCTACTGATCTTGGGTTCATCAGCATCTACAGCTATGTGAGTCAGGGGAAGACTCTAGCCTGATACCTGACCATATATTAGAATTTGCCAGCTTCTCCCACTGTGTGAGCCATTGCCTTGAGATAAACCTATCTATCTTCAGATGGATCTTGGTTGAAAGCAGAGAATACTTGGAAGATGTTTACTTGTGCTTTATTGACTATGCAAAAGTTTTCAACTCTGTGGATCATGGCAAGCTAAGGATAACATTGAGAAGAGTGGGTATTTCAGAATATTTAATTGTGCTCATGAGGAAGCCGTACATAAATCAAGAGGCAGTCATTTGAACAGAACAAGGGGATACTGAATGGTTTAAAATCAGGAAAGGTGCTCACTAGGGCTTTATTCTTTCATTATATTTATTCAATCTGTATGCTGAGCATATAATCCGAGAAGCTGGATTATTTATGAAGAAGAAAGTGGCATCAGGATTGGAGGAAGACTGATGAAGAATTTTCAATATGCAGATGGCACAATCTTGCTTGTTGAAAGGAAAGAGGACTTAAAATACTTATTGATGAGGATCAAAGAAGACAGCTTTTGGTATGGATTGCACATCAATGTAAAGAAAACAAACAGTCCTCACCACTGGACCAATAAACAGCATCGCAATAGATAGAAAAAAAGATTGAAGTTGTCAAAGACTTCATTTTTCTTGGATCTACCATCAACACTCATGGAAGCAGCGGTCAAGAAATCAAATGACATATTGCATTTAGATAAATCTGCTGCACAAGACCTCTTTAAAGTGTTCAACAGCAAAGATATCAGTTTGAGGACTAAGGTGCCTGATCATGGTATTTTCAATAACCTCATATGCATGTAAATTTGGACAATAAATAAGGAAGACTATGGTATAATTGATGCATTTGAGTTATGCTGTTGTAGAAGAATATTAAAAGTACCATGGGCTGCCAAAGAACAAACAAACAAAAAATCTAGTTTTGGAAGAAGCACAGTCAGAATGCTCCTTAGAAGTCAAGATGGCACAACTTTGTCTCTCATACTTCAGACATATTATCAGGAGGGACCAGTCCCTGGAGAAGGACATCATGCTTGGGAAAGTGGAGGGGCAGCAAAAAGAGAGGAAGATCTCCAACGAGATGGATTAGCACAGTGACAGCGGCAATGAGCTCAAACGTAACAACAATTGTGAGGATGATACAGGACCAGACAGTGTTTCATTCTGCTGTACACAGGGTTGCTATGAGTCAGAACTAACTGGGCTGCACATGAAGTACCTGACAACAACAGCAGCAAATCTCTCTTATCTCTCTATCTGTAAGCTTCATTGGTTTTGCTTCTCCAGAGAACCCTAGCATAAGACATACTATAAACATGTAATTTCACGTGGTTCGGCATAATACATTTTACATTAGAATTACATGATTATATAAAAACCAGGAACTTAAACATAAAAATAAGTATCACCTGTCAAATATGCCTCATTGAGCATGGGCTAAATGGGACAGAGGTAAATAATGATGCATGCTTAACCTTGGAACAACAGGACTCTGTGATACAGGGATTGAGGCATAGTCTACAGAGGGGAAATAATGTTAAGATTCTTGACTGATTTAAAATAGACACTTGAGTGGGATAGAAAGGAATGTCAGGAAACATGATTACAAAAAGCTTCAGCCTATAACTGACTGGAATACCTAAAAGGGTTCTAGAATTTGCCCAGTGAAATAGGCTTCTTGTGGAGCCTTTGCAGTGTATAGGACCTTAGGTGGAATTCTGAACCCAATCCAGAACCTTCTGAGGTGGGACATTCCCACAAGAAAGGACAAGCAGACCAGCCTGAAAGAGGTAGAGCAATACAAGATACATCTTCAAAGAGCTATCAGCAGGAAAAATCAAAAACAAAAATGGCAGTATGACTGGCTACTACAAAAACAAGTAAGTTTTTCACTGGGGAGCCATCAAGGCAATCAATCAAGTCCCTTCAGGACAAACCCCCTTCTAAGACTGAAACTCAAAGGAAACACATGAACAGGAATGTAAGCTTGCTGGTGAACATGTTGGTGTATTGGTGAGGGGGAAAGGCAGCAATGAAGAAATGGGCTGAGTTCAACCGTACTCCATAGATTCCTTTTGACCTGAAGATGAGAGAAAGAGGAAGGGCTAGTTGGTCCGAAGTGTGGTGAGACCTGGGGATTCCTGAGCCCCTGGACAAGGACATAGCCATGGAGGGCTAGAGCTGAGAGTGAAGCATTCAGCTAATATGAAGTAAGGAGAGATGCCCAAACTTGCAGATAGTACCCATTTGACCTAGCCTCAATGGCTTGATAATCAGGACTCAACTAGAGGAAGATAAAAAACAAAACAAAACAAAACAAAAAACAACCACTACAATTTTTGATAAAGGAAATGAGTGTAAATTGCTACAATTTGATGAACTTGACCTATACTTATGGATGTAGTAGCTCAAAACACCAACTGAGAGGGAAG